CAGACCGTTCAACAGCACCGATCTCTCCGCTGAACAAAGTGGGGCTGTGAAAATGCTGCCCATTACAGGCGCAAGACACAAGCGCCCCGGAGCTGTCCAGCAACGACAGTCAAATGGCGCCGACATTCCTCCCAATCAAAAACACTGCTGGCATACCCATGCTGCCGAGAAGGCGCAACCACCAAGCACCGAGTCTCCTCCTTGATGAATGTTGTGGCCAAAAAATGCTGAAAACAGTCCACATCAGGTCCACACGACGTAACAACAAACACAAAGTGACAAAACAAACAGAAAAACAACAAAAAAAGCAAGGCTCATGAGAGCACTTGCCGACGGCTGCCTACTCGGGCGCCATCCTTGACTTCTAAAAGTGGCACCGAGGATGAAGATTTCGTTGGATTTAGTGATTTGGAGTGACACGAAAGGTTTGGGAACACTTGTTAGCATGTTCTTTATGCGATAGTTATCTGAATAATGCTTAATATGTTACATGAACATACCAGGCAAGTTCTCAGTTTTTTGTTTGTGCGTCATGTAACGTTAGCATATCACACTTATTCGGCATCTTCTTCTCTATTTTTATTCATTTTATTTTTTTGCCTTTCAAGATGACATGTCTGCTCTGTGTTTTGGATTTTATTAAATAAATTTCCCCCAAAATGCGATTTGTATGCCAGGGTGACTTATATATGGGTTTTTTTCTTCCTCATTAGGCATTTTGTGGCTAATCCGGAAAGTACGGTAAGTTATATGCATCCTAATATTTCTAAAACACTCTAGCAGTACAGTATGTCTACCCACCCCCAAACTTTCATTTAATTATTCTATTAAGAAGTAGGATAATGTAAAAAAAAAACCACATTGTGATTTTATTTGCGTTAATTTTAAAAACAAGAAGTGAAAAAAACAATCCTTTTTTAAAATGTATTATTTTTACATTCAAGATTTAATAGCAATTGACCACGCTGATTTCTCCTCATCAAACTTTTCCTGTCGTGCACCAGCTGTGTAATACTGCAGCGTAATAAAGTAGAGCAGGTGCTGGTTTATTTCACACATTTTCCCCACCATGTGAGCCAATGTACAAGGTTTGAATGAAGCAAAGCGACAACCGACCTGAGCCTGTGGTTTGCCCGGATAGCTTTCCATCCTGCTGTGAAGAGAATGCAAACTTTTATTCATGAGTTAAAACATACTGGATCTCAGTGAGGCCTTTATTTCGTGCCCTTTCTGGGTGGCTCTCAGAAAACAGTGTCCAGTGTGACGTGAGCGGCAAAAAACATGAACTTGTTGCAAAGCAGTTAGCAATGATGTTCTTGAAATCAACATTTCTTGCAGTGTGTTGTGAATAAATATTGCTCACTCAGCCCTTTGTTCGCGAGACATTTTTGAATGTCGTGGTCTACTTCAGTGCTTGGTACCTGAGCACCAATCACTGAGTATTCAAGTAAATAAATAAATAAATAAATATTGGAGGATAATGTGGATACCAATTAGCTGGTCCCTCTGCAAAATACAAAATGCCTCCAGCTGAACCGTGCACCTTTCAAATCTTGCTGACTTATGTGCAAAAATATTCTAAAAAGACAGCACTCATCTTTGTGGGGTTGTTTATTTTATCTCTAAGGGCAGGAAGAGGTCCGTAACCTTTTTTGCCCCACTGACCGGTTTAATGTCAGAGAATATTTTCAGGGACCGGCTTATAAGGCTGGATAAATACAACAAAATAATATGATATGACCTGCATGAAAACTGAGGTATTTTCAAAACATAGTAATAAAGACGAATCATGACATGAGAAACATCCTATCTGCCCGCAAGACTCTGGTCGCGATGGTAACGCTTATATGGGCCTTCAAAGTAAAATACAAAGTGCATGAAAAATACGACTCACCATCGCCGCATATTATGCAGAGTGGGCTAAGTGCGTGGCAATCTCCCGTTGAGATAAATCAGTATTTTAAGTAGGACTCCTGATACTGTCTATTAAATGTAGTTTTTTTTCTTGAAAGCCGTGGTTGAAAGTATTCTGTCTCCTGGCTGGCTTTCCAAAGACGTTATTTTTTTCCTCATTTTGATAGCTCCCGGGTTTCATTGTAGCGGTACCCTATCACATGACCGAGAAGCGCTACCTTCACCTGCGTCAAGAGTGATACACTGTAGATATAACAGAGAATCCGGTAATCTTTTCAAAATAAAATATATTTCAGACCCGATATGAATATAACGGAAGTAATATACGTTATTTATTCTTTCGTGCAGCCCAGTGCCAAATGACCCACGGACCGGCACCGGTCCGCGGCCCGGCGCTTGGGGACTTCTCCTCTCGAGTATGTACCTATATTCAATCCTGTCAGTGGTGAAAGTGTTTCAGCGTCTGACCAGACCATGTTTTTTGAGGACCACCCTTTTTGTACCAGCAGTATGGAATAACATCACTAACCAGTCATACTGTTACGTCGTCTGGTCCGTGTTACCGATTGGATGGTACCAAAGACAAGATGAGTGACTAATCCAAGCTAGCATGTCTAAATAATGCTTGTTAATGTCTGATTCTGCCAACAATAATAGTTACACAAAAGCACCAGATAAACAACAGACGAATGTTGCTTTTAAGCTATAACTAACACATAAAATTTTGAAAGAAAACATACCAATTACTGCAGTGTTGACCGGGGTTCTTTTCCTGGTCTTCCCACCAATTCCAGTGAGGGGCCAAGGGCGAGTTGTCACACCAACATTCCAAACGGACCAAAGAAAAGGCTTCTCATGTTGTTCAGACCCGCCCACAAAACTTGATTCGCTATCAAAACTTAGAAGCTGCAATCAAAATTTCAAAACTAGCAATCAAAACGTCTGAATATGCTAACAAAACGTGTAGTTTCATGAGAACAAAGTTTTAATTTGTGAACAAACTTAGGTGTTTTTTTTTTAAATATTGGTCTTACTTGTTTGCAAATCTTTTTTTGTTTTATTTCAAATTCATTATTTTTGTATGCAAATCATTTTTTTTAAATAATGTATTTTTAATCCTCTTGTTTGATTGCATAAAAAGATTTCTCTCCAAATTGTCATACAAAGCCAATTCCAATGGATTTGGGATGTTGTGTTAAACAGAAATAAAAACAGAATCCTGTAATTTGCAAATCATGTTCAATTTATATTGTACAGGTTCAAACTGATAAACTTGATTATTTTGAGCAAATAATCATTAACTTTTAATTTTTATGGCTGAAACACATTCCAATAATGCTGGCACAGGTTCATGTTTACCAGTGCGTGTTCACAACACTGAATAAACCTTTGGGAACCGAGGACACTCATTGCTTAAGCTTTGCAGGTGGAATTCTTTCCCATTCTTGCTCGATAAACAGCTTCAGCTCTTCAACAGTCCGAGGTTTCCGTTGTTGTATTTTACGCTTCATATTGCGCCACCTATTTTCAATGGGAGACAGGTCTGGACTGCAGGCAAGCCAGTAAAGTACCCACAGTCTTTTACTCTGAAGTCACACTGTTGTAAATCGTGCAGAATGTGGTTTGGCATTTTATTGTTGAAATAAGCAGGGGAATCCATGAAAAAGACGTTGCTGCGTGTAAACTTTGCATCCAAAACAGTCCGAATGGTTCTTTTCCTTTTTTGGCCTCAAGGACACGATGCCCACAATTTCCCAAAACAATTCAAAATGTGGACTCGTCAGACCACAAAGTACTTTGCGTTCAGCTCATCATAGACGAGCTCTGACCCAGAGTAGCCGGCAACATTTATGAGTGTTGTTGATATAATATGGCTTTTGCTTTGCATGGTAGAGTTTTAAGTTGCACTTCAGAATAGTGCCCAACTGTATTTATGTCGCTGGTTTTCTGAAGTCTTTTCTGAGCTGATGTGGTGATACACATGGATGGACCTCCAACACCTAGAAATACTACTGCTGACTACTATCCCACATAGGTTGTCATACTTGACAGACCATTTGAATCAAATTAAATGCTTAGCTGACTGTCTGTGGTCCGCATGCGATGGTCAAGTTAAAATGACCTTTTTATTTTCTTTTCTTCAACTTAATTGGTGATGAGAGTATGCAACGATTTCTTCTCGAAAGGAAGGTGTATTAGGGGGGAGTACATTCCATCGAAACACACTTTTTATAACGTGCTAACGAGTAAATGAATGGAATATTTATTTGCCAGCTCAAAGAGAGAAAAGAAACAGACGGCAGGATTTTGTGTTTTCTGTCACCACAGGCAGGTAAGGACCCCCACAATCACCAACCAACTCCAACAAATTATTACGCTTTGAGTATTTTACTTACATCATCACTGGTACTGTTGAGATTGTAGCCACAGTTCAGGGCAATGTCCACGGGGTGCATCTCTGTCCAGCCATCTGGTGTACACGTTTTGGAGAGATTTCCTAAATACGGAGAGGGATGAATTAAAAAAAAAAAAAAAAAAAACAATACAAAAAAAAAAAAAACGACATAATGAGATGGTTCATATTAGTTTTTCTTTTGTGTTGGACTTCAGATCAGTGATTTAGTCATCATTTCAGCTGATACCTAACTTTTTAAGTGTTATGAATGAATCTGGTTTTACATTTTTCACAAACAAAAGAAACGGGGTTTAAGAACTAAATTAAAACAACTGTGGATATAATTTAAAATAGTTTTAAAACAGTATATATATAGAAAGTGTACACTCAGTGGCAGGGTTCTAACAGCAGTGTGCCGCGACACAGGGTTTGAAAAACACTGACTGATTTAATACAAGATTCCATAGGAGCCATAAACTCTTTGGAAATATAAAATGAATATAAACTAGTGCTGTCAGGCGAATTAAAAAAAAGTGTGATTAATTAATTAGGGTCTGTATTTAATTTATCTAAATCATCTATATTTTAATTTTATCAAAAATTACTGAGAAGACCCCTATTTTCATTTTAAATTTGTTACATTATTGAGGCAAATCAAAAGATAAAAGAAAAAGTGGCATTATAAAGTATTTAATTGTTTTTCAGCAGACTTGGACAGATACAGTCCTAGCCATTTACTTTCTGCTGAATTTGAGACTAGTCAAAGTCCTACCTGAAACCTTTAGTTTCGACCACGAAGGGGAATATCACTGTTTTGTTTGTTTTTGTAATTCTCCAAAGAATTACAAAATAAAAATATAATAGAACATCAAGTCCTTAGAAAGTGCTTAGGTTAACATATCAAAAAGAGTCAGAATAATTTTCTGAGCAATACAAGTACGCAACACTGAACTTGCTTCAGATAATAATCAATAAATAAAACAGACTCTTAAATCACAGTGCTGAAAGTTAGCACTTCAAAAATAACACTGTTCATCATGACAAACTACAAGTGTTGAAATAAACATCAATCACTTCTAGTAGTCTACAGAGGACACATCAACTATGCCTCATACGTGGGGTGTTCTCGAGTTTAGTTTGCCGAAGAGCTTTGCTATGTATGGCTCGCTCGCTATATGCTCATGCTTTCGGTGCTTACGTCAGCTGTGGCTGCACTCGTGACTGGGTGCTAAATTTGAGCTGCTTCGGTAGTAAGCAAACTCCTTCTTGCAAATTAGGCACAACACTCTACCTTTATCAATTGTGTCGTCAGGGCGCTTTTGGAATGTAAAATTTCCATTCATTGTGCCGAGAACTCTCAAATGCTGCTCCATTTTCACCCTCCATTCCTTACTGCTGCTTACTGAGCCCGCCCAACTCCAATGGGAGCCTATCAGCTTCGGCTAAACAAGCCCCAACATAATGGCAGCAAATCAATGTCTGCTTCAGGCTGTGGCTGACAGTTGTTTCCCCGCCCTCAACAACTCGAACACAGGAAGCCAACGCATACAAAGGGCTATTAGAAAAACCCACCGACAGAAACAAAGTCAGAGATTAAAATCTAGATTAATGCGATAAAAAATGCGCTGAAGGCGATGTAATTAATTAATCGCAATTAACGCGATCATTTGACACCTCTAATATTAAACTTTTTTTTCAATTTTGTCGCAGATAATTGTTGAACCAGGTCGGAGTGATATGTCAGCCCATCTGCCATATTGTATGTGGCTTTAATATTAGACATGAATTCAGCAAATAATATCGTAAAACTGAGCTCGGATAGTATCATACTATCAAAAGCAATAATTTCGTGTCAATCCAGTGAGTTTTTGCTTGATGATACATCTCCAAGCAGGAAGCATATTCACAGTTTGATTCACTTTGTCGCATCCAACACAGATCAATGGCGTCAACGTATTCAAGAAGGCATCTTTATGTTGAGTATAATAGGGTTTAATAAATCAAACCAATGGAGGTTTGAGTGGTCACTCTCAGCCTGCTTACTAATAAAAGTTGAACACATTATGTAGTCTCAGTTCTTCTTATTTGTATAACGTAATTATAGGTGAGGAGTTTGTCATTTGAATTATTCATGTGGGGAATACATGGTTTATTCATCCGTGAGGAGAGAAGTTGGAAGGGTGCCTTAAATTTAAGCAGACCAGGCCACATAAATGCTGCACCACCACCCAAGTGCAGAGTTAAAATACTGCCAGATAAGTGTTACCTAAACAAGCAGTCAATGAAAAACGTAATTGTCTTTTTTTTGGTGAAACCTCCTAAATTAAAGCTGAAGACAGGTAAATTTACTTGTGGTGGCGCTTGAAGGGAAGAATCATAAAAACATGCAATGGATGAGGACTTTTGACAGATTTGTTTTGTTTACCTTTCACATTTTGTTGATTTCAAAATGCTTTTCTTGGCAATTTTCATTAGTAATTTCATGAAATGTTTTGGAATGAATAAACAAGTTAATCAAAGACAGAATGTGGTTGTTGAATAAATAATTTGAATAAATATTTATAGATTTGATCTGACAGAGCAATTACATTGACAGATTTAATCTAGCAGTTCCTTTTTTATTTATTGAATACACTTTTTAACATTTTATTTCATTTAAAGGAGTTTTTTTTTTTTTTTTTAAATCAAGGGAACACAAATCTAAAGAGAAAATGCAAAAAGAAGGTTGGGCGGCACACATGGACATATGGTCATGGTCGCAAGGTGGTCTGCAATTGGTCAATGTCACATGAGCAGCCAACAACATCATCCGCAAGGGGAGAGCTTTCAGAACGCTTTGGCGCGTGCCATTGTCATGCGCTGACCCCAACGAGTCAATTTCTGCTTCCACAACGTCAATCATGTTGCCGCTTCAGCTGCCCAGATTTGAATAGAAATGAGGGAAGCAACTTTGATTGGCCGGCCGTCAGCTGCGTTCCATCCCACAAAGGTGCAGAAAGATGCAAAGGCCCCTTATGCCCAATTATACCTGTGCTAAATCGGGCAGAATCCCAAAAGAAAGGAAACTCCACCCGAGCACACAGTTAGACAGCGATTCGCGCTAGCCTTACGCTGGGTAAGTAATAGGGCCCAAAGTATCTACATGTGTCCACTCTAGATTGAGTTAAAAACACAGTTTAGAAAGTGTTAACCAGTTAACAATGTGATAGAGATGAAGCAACCCTTAATCAGGCTTAAATCAGGCATAGGTAACTGGTGGCGGGCCTACACTCGGAGTGGTCCCTCATTACTAAAATGCTTCTTTACCACAGGGCAGAGCAATTCATTTCACAACACATGAGAAACTGGAACACCTGTTTAGGCCCAAGCCAGCATACTAACCTGAACTTTGTCTATATTATTATTTATTTAGAAAAAGAGTATTGTCTCACTTGAAGAAACTGCTGTGTGTAGATATGGTGTGGAATGTTAAAGTTACAAAATACACATTTTTAAACAAAATCATAAGTGGTCATTAAATTGTCTTGACACTTAAGGAGTGCTAACATTAATTTTGTGCACACACTGCCAACTCACATTAGCCATTCTTCGTTAGGACTCCAGAATATCGACTGTAGATAAGTGGGAAGTTTTATATTATTGACAGTGATGTATCGTGATACAGCGATGACTTCTACTACACCCATTACAAATACAGTGGTGCCTCTATTTACGAAATTAATTGGTTCTGGAAGAAATTTCATAACTAGAAAATTACAGACACGTTTTCCATGTAAGTTCCCCTAATCCTTTCCAAGCCCCCCCGAAATTCAGACATAAATGTTTATCCATTCCATTCATTTTCCGATCCTCCTATCGTCACAAGGGTGGTGGGGGGTGATTGTTAGCGTGGTTCTGTTTGTAACCAACAGGTGGCACTGTAGGGCTCTTCCTGCAGTGACACACCTGTTGATCATTGTGTCATTAGTTGGTGTTTTGTTAAAAGGACTCCCTGCCCGACGAGTCGGTGTCGGGTCATTGTTGCTGTTGTGTGTGTCTCTGTGCACGTGTCATGTTTTGTTTTTGTCACAGGTTTTTTTGTTTGTTTCCTGTGGTTTTCTCCTGTTTGCATTTTTGTAAAATACATCTTGGTTAATCCACCCTGCTCCTCCCTGCCTCCTGCTTTTTGGGGTCCAACGACTCTACCACCACGCAAAACATAATAGTGCTGGAGCCAATCCCAGCTGTCTTAGGGCAGTAAGCAGGGGACACCCTGAACCGGTTGCCAGCCAATCTCAGGGCCCAACATTTTCTTGTTGAGGCGTTTCGTAACATGAACATTTCCTATGAAGAGACGTTCGTAAGTCGAAGAGGTAATGTATATGATTTAGAAATTGGACATGTGCTGACAGAATTATCAGGCAAAATTTTCCTGGCCCTCTTCCCTCCACTGTGCTAAAATTCAGACAGCTATTATTTGTTTTTGCTCGTCTCTTTTGTGGGAAAATAGTTGCTGGAGGGGTAATAAAAGCTAAATATAGCAAAGATGTCGCTAAGTTGGCAACACTGCAGACACAAATCACACCTCTTGCTTGCTACCTGACCGGCACTAGCGTCTGCACATGTCCCCATAAAATAAAAAGAAAACTTTTACAATAAAAGCACACATTTTATGGTTTGCTTTGACTTCATGGTCACTCTTTAGGCCGGTCAGATACTGTGAGTGGACTTGATGTGGCCCTCAGTCTGTACTTTGCCCAGGTCTACTCGACCACATTCAGTTTGAATTGTATTGCTACCGATGATCACTAGATGTCAGATATTTTGTAGTTCTCATATCAGCTCATCTCCTGAGAGAAGAATGCCACCAGGAAGTTACGTTAATATTTCATGGTGAAATGTCATACAATATTTACTTTAGCCTTAGCCTGAGATTGAAAGTAAATGGCAAGGCTTTTTCACTGTATTGGGATTGGGGAATGTGTGTTCCATTCAGAGGTATAGTGTAAAGCGTTTGTTTTCATTGTTTGGTAGCTTTCGTCAAAGAGCACACAAAATAAAATAAAGAGCATAAAATTATGCACTCTGTTGTCAGATAGTCTACTTGCAATTTACTTGCATTA